AGAAACTATTATATTGCTACGCTATTAAATGAAAAGTCGTGCAAAATATTAAATTTGTGCAGTAATAAAGGAATCAATAGATAATTTTTCACTGGTTATAGGAATACATCGAATTCTTTGTTTCATTCTCTCCCCTACGTATGGCTTCTGTTTGTTTGAGGCTAGGTCAGTACCTGATTAGATGCTGTATATTGCTGAGGGGGTGGTGCCTGAGTTCCCAGAGGTGCTGGCTGGTTAGATTGTGCCACGGTGTACAGCGGTAGGTTAACGGCTCCAAACTGCGAGGTTGGCAGCTGATGTGCTAGAACGGCTGTGCGTGGCTGTTGAACATCTCTCTGGGCCGGATGATTGTGGTGATAATTGAATGTTGGATCACTTGCTGAAGCTGCCTGAGGATATTGATGCTGTTGTTGCTGCTGTTGCTGCTGCTGTTGCTGCTGCTGTTGCTGCTGCTGTTGCTGCTGCTGTTGCTGTTGCTGCTGTTGTCTTAGCCGTTGCAGCTCCTGTTGCTCCCGTTGCTGCTGTTGCTGCTGTTGCTGCTGTTGCTGCAGCTGTTGCTGCAGCAGTTGCACCTGTTGCAGGTGCTGTTGTGGTATCAGCGGGCGCTGATCCATTCTGACAACCAGCGGTGGCGCGGGAACTTCTTGAAAGGAAAGATTGTGGTGCTGCGAACTGGCCACCTGAGGTTGAGTGACCACCCGTTGTGATAATGCCGCATTGCTGGGTAGAAATACGGCTAGCTGCTCATTTGGCCGCCCTCCGGTGGCGACTGGCTGCTGGGCTGGTATAACTTGAGGAGCTTGGTTGCTGGTCTGCTGTGCGCCTCCCTGAGCGACGGGCCGCAGGGCTTGCAGTATGGTCGGTCCAACTCCGTTGCTGGGTTGCTTTGCCCCTCCCTGCGTGGCTGACGGCTGAGCTGAGTGCACTTGGCGGGCTTGATTGCCAGATGGCTGATAGGCTGATCTGACCACGAAGTTTACTTGGGGTAGTGTGATGATGTGGGGAACAGGAGTGCTTCCGATCTGCTGAACTGCTGGCTGTTGAGGTTGCGAGGTGGAGCCCTGTGCCACTGGCTGTTGTGGTTGCGAGGTGCGCCCCTGAGCGGCTGGTTGCTTTGCTTGCGAGGTGCGCCC